GATGACAGACATGTGCCGCCACGCCCAGCTGATTTTTGTAGTTTTAGCAGAGATGGGGTTTCACCATATAGTCAGTCTGGTCGCGAACTCCTGACCTCAGGTGATCCACCCACCTCGAGCTCCCAAAGTGCTGGGATTGCAGGCGTGAGCCACTCCCAGGAATTTGGTTTTTCGTTTTTCCTTGTTTTTGAGATGGGATCTTGCTTTGTCAACCAGGCTGGAGTGCAGTGGCCTGATACTGGCTCACCGCAACCTCCGCCTCCTGGGTTCAAGCAATTCTCCTGCCTCAGCCTCCCAAATAGCTGGGATTACAGGTGCGTGCCACCACGCCCGGGTAATTTTTGTAGTTTTAGTAGAGATGAGGTTTCACCATATTGGTCAGGCTGGTCTTGAACTCCTGACCTCAGGTGATCCACCTGCCTCAGGCTCCCAAAGTGCTGGGATTACAGGCGTGAGCCACCGCGCCCGGCCTGTTATTTCTCTTTCTTGCCTCGCTGTCCGGCGGGGACTTGAATGGAAGTAGCAAGAGTGGGTTTCCCTGCCTTGTTTCTGGCCTTAGGTGAAAACTTCATGCCTTCCACTGTTAGCTGTGGTTTGTCATTAGGTGTATTTGGGGTTTTCCAATCTTTGTTCTCCTCATGATCATGAAGGTATTCTCTTACGATATCTTCTAAATCCATCTCTTTTTTCCCCCCACTTTCACATTTCTGTCTAACCGCCATCTGAGATGGACTCAGTGGAGTGCGAGGTGGAGTTTAAGTTGTTCTACGAGGGGACCCAGCTGTCCACACATCGTGTATTGAAATGTCCTTCCCTTCCCCACTGCCCACCTGGGATTACAGGCGTGGCCACCACCATCATGGCAGGGGCGGAACAGGAAAGAAGTGGCCGGGTTAGATGCCCCAGCCCCGGTGTGGGTGGCAGGATGCCGGCCATCTAGAGGTGCCCACGCCCCAGCCCCGGTGCCTGTGAGCCTGCGAGGCGGCGTGGTCCAGGGGCTTCGCAGATGCAGTTCCAGACTTGAGATGGGAGGCGCTCCTGGGGAGGTGCTCCTGGGCCCAGGTGATGACCAAGTCCTCACAGGAGGGAAGCAGGAAGGCCAGAGAAGAGCGTGGCAGCTGCGCTGCCGATGGTGAGGATGGAGGGCATGGCCAGGAGCCAGGAAAGGATTCTCCCCGGGAGCCTCCAGGACCAGCGCGGCTGGGTGATGCCGCCATTGTGACCCAGTGCACTCCATTCCGACCTCTGACCCCAGAACCATCAGACAGGAAGTGCTGCCGCGTCAAGCCCCCATTTTTGCGATAATTGGTTAACGGCAGCTGCGGAAAGTCACAGACCCCTCACCACAGAGTAACCGGAAGCTGGGCTGCGTCATCCAAGCCTTTGAAACGCATTACCAGGTGGCCACAAAAGGAAGAATTAGGCTGAGCCATGAACCACTGAGTCGGAGGCACTGCCAGGTGTCAGCACCGCCCCAAAGCGTTAAGGGCACCCCAAAGAACTGGTGTGCGAACTGCAAACGAACAGAGAAGGAAGAATGAATGAGGAAAATGAATGGGCCACTCACCTCAGACCAGGTATCCCACAGCTGGTAATGGAGAAACACATAGAAAAACAGGACAAATAAAAACAAAGAAGTCAGACCGTAGAAGTTGGCCCACTTATGTCGTATATCAACGTGGGAAGGAAAAGTTCCTCTTCCAAGTTTCCTTTCTTGTGAAAGAACAAATCAGCTGGGTGCAGTGGCTCATGCTTGTAATCCCAGCACTTTGGGAGGCCAAGGAGGGCGGATCACGAGGTCAGGAGTTCCAGACCAGTCTGGCCAACACAGTGAAACCCCGTCTCTACTAAAAATTCAAAAATTAGCTGGGCGTGGTGGCGTGCGCCTGTAATCCCAGCTACTTGGGAGGCTGAGGCAGGAGAATCTCTTGAACCTGGGAGGTGGAGGTTGCAGTGAGCTGAGATCGTGCCACTGCATTCCAGCCTGGGCAACAGAGCCAGACTCAGTCAGAAAAAAAAATAGGATCAATCATAAGTGTGCTTATAACTCTTTGTGAGGCCCCATCCTATGTAGCTGTTAGACATGCGGTGCTTACAGGCATGTAGTACATTCTATGTACTTTAACCAAGGCATCTGTGCTGGACGTGCTCACAGGTATGTCCCAGCTCACAGCCTATGCCCCTTACCTGTTTAAAAAGTTTTCAGGGCTGGGCTCAGTGGCTCAAGCATGTAATCCCAGCACTTTGGGAGGCCGAGGCGGGTGGATCACGAGGTCAAGAGATCAAGACCATCCTGGTCAACATGGTGAAACCCCAACTCTACTAAAAAAATACAAAAAATTAGCTGGGCATGGTGGCGCGTGCCTGTAATCCCAGCTACTCAGGAGGCTGAGGCAGGAGAATTGCCTGAACCCAGGAGGTGGAGGTTGCGGTGAGCCGAGGTTGCGGTGAGCCGAGATCGCGCCATTGCACTCCAACCTGGGTAACAAGAGCGAAACTCCGTCTCAAAAAAAAAAAAAAAGTTTTCAGTTGTTATCCAATCAGGTTTTAGTTTAGATTGTGAGCTCTGGCTCCAGCCAATGGAGATCAGACACAGCAGTAAGGACAACCCCAAATGCAGAAGGGATAAATATGTCGGCTTTTCCTCTGTTCATTGTACTCTTGTGGCAGGATGGCTAGCAAGGGTTCCCTTCCTGAGTCCAGGAAGTAAAAATCGCTTGCTGAGTAAGAGATCTTTTGTCTCAGTGCTGACTTTTCTTTGTGGCACCAACCATCTGTTTCCAACGTGCAGAAAAAGGTCAACTGGCCAGCCCTGCCAATGAGACGACAGAGGTGAGAAGAGGGTGCCAGTCACAGTCACATGCAGTTTGCAGGAAACACGCCCATCAAAAGACCCACACGAGATTCAGGAAGAGAAGCGAAAATGAGTAAATATTTAAAAGTAACCAGGAGGGTCAGCGTCTGCCTCTCAAAGCAAACAGCCTTTAGAGCCAGGCGTTATTAGGGACGTGGCCATCATGAGAAAGGTTCGACTCCTGAGAAAGATGAAACAGCCTCCAAATCCAAGAAGCAAAAACCGTGGGGCGCGGCCGCCGGCTGGTCCCAACGCTGGGACATTTCGCCGCTCCTGGATTACTGATGCATCTGGCAGACAGAGCAAAGAGAGGGGGTTCAGGGCAACGTGATTAACCATCTCGGCGTCATAGAGACATGGAACTCTGTGCCTGGAACATGGCGTTCTGCGATCTTTTCAGGTACACTGGCAACAATCACTAAAGGGAGAAGCGGGTCCCACCGTGTCTCAGACATAGGCAGACAGCCCACAGCCGAGGCGCAGCGTGACGAGGGCAGAAAGCAGTTCCTGAGGTGCATTTTTCCCATCCTGGTTCTTGAATTTGAAAATTCAAGACCACACTTCTGAATATCTCATGGGACTCAGAAGAAATGAAACGATCGTGGAAATGTCAAAAACTAGCGAGACGTTGCTAACCTGAGTTAGACGGCACAGCAGCTGTAAATGCCAACGTTACGATAGGAAAGCACCAGGAATTCATAAGCAGTCAGAGTGCAAAGGCAGAGTAATCCGAAAGCAATGGAGGAGAAGATGCAGACGGTGCCCGAGGCAATGCCAAGGGAGCAAAGATGCCACAGAGAGGATGGGTGAGAACCTCAGAAACGGAGACACGGCCCTCAGATGCAGCAGAGGCGACGGGATAGCCAAGGGGTGACTTTGTGCCAGTACAGGGATGACATACCGGGAGAAAACGCCTTCAGACTCCAGGAAGAACGGAAAGCTGAATAGTCTCATAACAAACAGATAAGGACGTCCATGGACTTAGTCTTCCCACACACACAAATATCACTTTTTCCATGTTTTCCCTGAATTCTGCCAGACTGTCAAGAAACAGATGATGTCAGTGTTAGATAAATCTCCCCAGTAACAGGAAAGTCAACAGCTCCTCCCAACCTCCACAGGCCGCCTAACTCCTCCCAGACTGCTCCAGAGCAGCGCAAGAAATACGTGCAAAGATAAGCTGTCGTCTCTCCGGTCAGCCTTTTCGCTTCCCTTCTTCCCTCCCTGACGGGGTCTCGCTCTGTCACCCAGGCTGGAGTGCAGTGGCACAATCACAGCTCACTGCAGCCTCCACCTCCTGGGCTCAAGCAATCCTCCCACCTCAGCCTCCCAAATAGCCGAGACCACAGGCATAGGACACCATTCCCAGCTGAGTGTCTTTTTAGAGACAGGCTCTCTCGGAACTCCTGGGCTCAAGTGATCCTTCCACCTCAGCCTCCCAAAACACTGGGAGTATAAGGCGTGAGCCACTGTGCCCGGCTCCAGTGTAACCCTAAAACGCTACCAACGTCCTAGGACAGATTGTAGGAGGAACAGTGGTACGAGCATTTCACTCGGCACAGGGCAAAAGCAATTGATAAAATGCACACGTTTACTCTGGAAGCCAGGACACAACGCAATGCCCCATCCTAACAAAGCAATCCATCAAAAACTAGAGACAGCCTCCTTCCTAATGGGGCTCCCTTAGAAACAGCCTCTTTGAAGGGGGTCGGGCAATGAGGCCCATCCGTGCGTCCGTTCCACTGTCTACTGGAGGCCCCAGCACAGGCACACAGAAAGGAAAGAAAAGATGGGGCAGAAGCAGGAGGGAGTGGCCAGCCTTCCCAGGCACACAGCTGTCTATGCAGAACCCACAAAAGAAAGCATTGGTGTAGACAGGGCAGGTTGTAAATCCCCGCACAGAGCACACTGGTGAGTACCCAGTGGCGTCTGCGAATGGTCAGCCGGGTGGGCCTTGGGCCCTGGGGACTTTTCCCCAGCCCTGTGGGCCTTTACTTTTGAGAGGTTATTCCCATGTCAACTTTACAACAATTCACATCGCTTGCTCTCACTACTCGTTTCTTTTCATTGAGGTGGAAGTTGTGTGACATGAAATTAACCGCGTGTGGCGGGACGGCCAAACATCCCTCCTCTTTCTTGTCTTCAGCAGAAGGTGGCGTGAAAAAGGAGGGGAGAAGCAGAGATGCCAAAAAGAGAAACCTGGCGAAGAAGGGCAAGAAGGTGGTGGAGCCTGTGGCAGGGGAGCTGGCGGGTGGGCACAGCGGGGGGTCAGCGTCCCAGCCCCTGCACCCGGCGTGACCCTGGTCTGTGGCTACAGGGCAGCTTCCTCCGGGCCACCCCCGCCGACTGCATCATAGTCGACTCAGACAACTTCAAGTGTATCCTTTGATGGATGCGGGGGCGGTGCCCAGACCCTACCCCATGCTCCTGTTTCTCCTTCACTGCAACTCAGTCATCGTGGACCCGTACGAGGAGGCCCAGGGCCCAGGTGGGTGCTGCACGGGGCTTCCCGCTCAGGCACATGCTGGCCTCCGCCTCCTGCTGTCCTGCCGTGGTGGGCAGCAGCTGGTACCCGCCTCCTTGAGGTGCAGCCTGGCTCTACCCTCACCCTCCCGGGGCGTGACAGGGCACTGACATATCCGCCGCCTTCGCTGGGACCCCTCCCCAGGGAGCCCGGCCCTGCACGCCCGTGTGTGACGGAGCACGTCGTGTGTCTCCACCCCATTCTCCTTGTAGAAATGCTGACTCCTGTCTCTATCACCCACGAGATTTTGGAAAGATTCCAAGACACGTTCACGTCGCGATGGGTGGGACACCTGGGAAGCCAGCAGTTTCCCAGGTTCGGATCTGGGTCCCAGGAGCTATTTGCGTGTGTCGGGTCTCAGGGGTCCAGCGAGGAGCCACTGCTCTCACCCCCACCTCCCCTGGGTCTGCCCTGTAAGTCCCACCAGGCACAGCACACAATGCTGAGACAGACCTGGCTTCTCGAGTCCTCACAGAGACTGGGCAAGGGGCACTGTTACCCACTTTACAGATGGTGACCCGGGGTCCCCAGCGTCACTGACAGCACATGGTCCAGCAGCAGGGCTGCCTTTTCAACCCCAGCATTGCAGCCGCTCCACAGACCACTCATAGACTCTGCCCCGCTGGTGCCCTCGGGGTTCCGTGGTCCAGAGGGTTTCAGAAGTGCCAGCAGAGAACCAGAGCAACAGGGGAGGGAGTGCCCCTGGTGGGAGGGGGTCCTTCCATGTCACAGGCTCCATGCCAGGGGCTTCAGGGACAGGTGTGTGAGGCACAGGTGTGTACAAGGGGAGGGAGTGCCCCTGGAGGGAGGGGGTCCTTCCATGTCACAGGCTCCATGCCAGGGGCTTCAGGGACAGGTGTGTGAGGCACAGGTGTGTACAAGGGGGGGAGTGCCCCTGGAGGGAGGGGGTCCTTCCATGTCACAGGCTCCATGCCAGGGGCTTCAGGGACAAGTGTGTGAGGCACAGGTGTGTACAAGGGGCAGGAGTGCAAGGGCAGGTGTGTGCAGTGGGGGGCAGGGGTGTGCAGGGGCAGGTTTGTTGGGAAGAGGGGGCTGCAGGGGCAGGGCTGAGGTTGGGTATGGCAGGAGGGAACCCTGGTCTAGTCACTGTCTCCCCTGCCTGGAGTACTGGGGTGCCTTGCCCTCCACATGCTTGGCCATTGGGAAAGGCCCTCCTAGCGCTTCCCACACCCAGCCCTGCCTGAGGATGGGGTGTTCATTCCCGCGCACGCTCACGGAGAGTCCAGCTGACTAGGCTTCATCCTAACTCCTGATCAGAGCCCAGAGGACAGAGGCATGGGCACTGGGAAAGTGAAAGAAAGTTGTGTTTAACGCGCAAATGGGGTGGGCGTGAGCCACGCAGGATGTGTGGCCTGCTTGAAGAATGCACGCTGGGGTCTGGCGCAGGTGTGGCCGCTCTTCACCCACGCTCTCCTCTCTGCAGCCAGGCCCAGTGGGAGCAGGCCCTGGGCAGCTGCAGCGGCTTCTTCTTCTATGGGATGGAGTGCTTCCTGTCCCATATATTAGTGGAGAGATTGGTCGCCATGAACTTGCAAGGTGAGAGGGGTCCTCTGGCCACGCCTCCATGGGCACAAGATAAATCCATATGAGGGCAGAGCAGGGCCACTGTCATCTGCTGGTGCTGCCCCCACCTGCTGTGGCCACAGGCTCCTCCTGTCTGCAGGTGGACCGCCTCTGCCCGCCCCTGCACACCCTGCCTGGCCCATACAGACATGGCAGCCATGGGGGCATTTGCCCCCCGCCCTTAATTTCTCAGTGTCCCCACTCCCCCTGCCTAGCTTTTCAGACCTGGCAAGCCTGTCAGTGCTGGGCCCAGGAGCTCAGGAAGGACGGGGTGGGCAATTCAGGACTTCGCTGGTCACGGCCCCTCCCTCAGGGCTCCGCTAGTCTAATCGTGGGCACTTGGGGCCTTGCCTTCCCCTTCTCTGCCCACTGGCGTGGAGGGTCTGCCAGGAGTGGCCCTGCTGTGCCTGGCACCATGACATCCCAGCCAGCTCCAGGATGGGGGGCTTTTGCCAGGAGGTGGGGATAGCACAGCAGGCTGAGGGCATGGCATGAGCATGGCAGGTGTGACCGCCGTCTCGAGCGCATCTGTAGGGGCACATCACCCCGTCACACGCCATGGCCTGAGGGCAGCACTGACAGAGACAGCAGTCTGCCCTGGACAGCAGGGATGGCCACTTGGACACCTCAGGGCGAGCGGTCAGGAGGCAGGCATGGCTCAGCCCTGTGCCAAGGCCACCCCCGTCTCAGCTCCTATGGCTGCCACCCTTCCAGGATGACCCTGTGCAGGGCCAGCCCACTCGCTGTGACTGTCTATGATGGGGCTGCAGATGGCTCCTCTGTGTGGGGTTGGTGGGAGCCTTTTGGGGACCTGAGAGATGTGGTGCCCCCCATGAGGTGCGTGGGCCCCATGGGGGCACTGAGACCACCCTGCAGGGCAGAGGAAGCCAATGAGGGGTGCCCAGGTGGGCTTCCCACCACTTCCTCTTGCCTGCACAGTCGTCTGGAGGAGGCTATGAAGGGCCTGGGCTCCTGAGACTCGCCAGGTCCACTGTGGCCAGGGTATCCCTGGAAAGAAACTTACGGTCGCGAGGTTGGAGCCTGAAGCTGACTGCGGCCATCATGCCATGCCCTGCCATGCTCTGGGGCCGTGGGGCCCCACACTCCCACCCCTGCGTCGGGCCACGCTGCTGAGCTGCCCTTCCTGCCCTTCCCCCCTTCCTGTCGGCAGAGTGCCAGGTGCTGGTCGTGCTGGACCTGGCGCGGTCCTACCAGAGCATGAAGCGGCACAAGCAGAGCTTGGAGCACAGGAGGTGCCTGGCTGCCCAGGGGAGGAGGTGCAGAGGGCGGAGAGGTCAGACGGGGAGGCGGGGGGTGCCACACCAGAGCAGGGACTCAGGGTGGGTTTCAAGACCTGTGAGAGCCGCTGGGGCGCACATGCATTCCATCAATTGGGGAGATGCATGTGCATGTGGGGGGCAGCTCAGCCGGGCCCCATGGCGCCAGCCCACAGGAGCCGGGTCCCTGCAGCGCCTCCAAGCCATCCCTGGAGGATCCCGTCAACATGGCCATCCTGCTGAGCCTGGTGGGTGTCAAGAGCATCCTGGCGAACCAATGGTCCACACTGCTTCAGGACAACGCGCTGCGGGCCAGCGTCCTTTGGGAAAGTGCGTGGGCACCGGGCACCCCGGGCCTATCCCACAGCTCTTCAGCAAGGCTGCCAGGGTGTCCACGCCTGGCTGAGGGGTCACTTCTCCCCTAGATCTGTTGGCCGTCGGGAAGCCGGTTGGAGAAACGGTGCGCCTCCTTCAGGAGATGGCTGGTGATGAGGCAGTGAACCAAGGTGAGGGACGCCCTCTGCAGCCACTGCCCGTGGGACACCTGCTCCCCACAGCCCTCCAGGGACAGGTGTCTCGGCTTCCCCGTGGGGAACTGGGATTCCAGACACTAACTAGTAGCCAGAAAGAGGAGGGCTTGTTCTTTCCTGGAAGTTGCCTGCGTCTCTGCACTGCCCCAGCCCCCCTGCAGTGGCACGAGCCTCAGGAGTGACGCCTGCAATGCCGTGTGGCTCCAGAACCCAGAGGGAAAGCATTGAAGTCGTCAGACACAGCGACAGCTCCAGTCACGCAAACCCCACGAGCCCGGGGCTCTCTGGAACCAGTGGGAAATCCAGGGGGCAGCTGTGTCAGGGCCCTCCCAGAGCCAAGGGCCGAACGGCCCCTGGATGTGGCCAGGAGTCCCTACCTGGGAAGAGGCCTCCTGGAAGAGGAATGCATGGGCTGAGCGTGGAGAGCAGCCTGACTCACAACACACCCAGCACCTGGCCCTCTCACAGCCTCACGGGGGAAACGTCGGGAAGGGGCACAGGACATGGTCTGGACAGGAGGGACCCCACCCACTCATCCTTCAGAGTCAGCAAAACCCTCCTGCCGTGGTGGGGGAAGTGCAGAGAGGAGCTTCACGGGTGGGACCCTGAGTCGAAGCGCTCAGCAGTGCACGGAAGGGGTGGTCTGCCCTGCCTAGGAAGGCGTCCCCTGACCGAGGCCTTCAGTGTCCGCCACTGGCCAGGAGCTTATTGTGTAGAGAGCATGTGGTCCACATTCTGGGGTGCTGGGCCCAATGACCCATGCTTGTCGGGGGAGGGAGGGAGCGAGGGGCAGGAGGAAGGCGGACGGAGTGCACGCTTGTCCTGCAAACGTGGAGCCAGGTGCAGACACGGAGGCCACTGCACTGTGGTGTAGCTGGTGTGGCTCTCTGCAGGGGAATATGGAAAGGTCAGAGCCAGGCCGGAGTTGTTCTGCTGCTGCCACTCAGCCATGACCTGCAAGCTCTGGTCCCTGTAGTGGAGGCCTGAGCCCAGGTGACTGACACTGTTGAGAAGGAAGGGGCAGAGGGTGCTGCTCCCTGCAGGGCAGCAGCCACACCCTAGACGGCCGCCCCCTCCCCCAGCAGAGCAGCTCACCTGGCAGAGGGATGGAGCAGGGACGGTGGGCTTCGGGTCAGGGGGTCCGGTCCTGGTGCCATCACCCAGCTGTGCCTTCCTGCCCTGACTCTCCTGGGCCTGGAAACGGTTGGTGACTTGGACACCTTGGAGCAGGAGGGGTGTGCAGGTGGTGGGGGCACCCTGGGAGGCCTGGCAGATGGCAGTGTGTCCCCCTTGGCAGCCTCAGAGTACCTGCCATGCCTCCCGCTGTGCCCTGGCCCTCGGCCAGGCTGGACGTCCTGCGGGTCCTCGGGGTTCACAGCTCCCATCCCTCTCTCCACAGACGAGGCTTCTCAGACGTTGAAGGACAAGATGCTCCTGCTACTGCAGCCACAGCTCCAAAGCTCCAAGCTCCTTCCCACCACGCTCAACTTGGTGCTGTATGGGCTGCCACACCAAGCCGTTGGGTAGCGTGGGCCTGGACACTGTCCTCCGCCCTGCCCCTCTGCCAACCCATGGCCCTCCTATCCCCACCGCGGCTCTCTCTCCCCAGCCCTTGGTGTGGCCTCAGCCTGAGACCTTCCCCCCGTGCCCTCCTGCCGGGCGGTCACCTGGACCTTGAGCTCTGCCTGCCCGTGTGCGCCATGGGGTCTGTGTCGGGGCTGGAGCTGCGTCTCTCCCTAGTGCCAGGACAAGGGCGGCCTCCCATCAGGAGGTTTCCACAGCCGCGGGCTCATTTATGCTGGCAGCAAAACCTCCTTTCCCTGGGGTGGAGGCACCCCCGGCAGAGCCCCAGGAGACAAAGGCTCTCAGCGCCGCGCCGGTGCCGGGTTGCTCAGACCAGGAGCACCGTTAGGACCTGTTAGGCTGTTTTTCATTTGAGTGTTCTAGTAAACAACAAAAGCCAGTCTGTGTGTGTGTGTCTGTGTGTGTGTGTGTGTGTGTGTCTGTGTGTGTGTGTGTGTCTGTGTGTGTGTGAGTGTGGGTGTGTGTGGTCTCTGTGTGTGTGTGGTCTCTGTGTGTGTGGTGTGTGAGTGTGTGTGGTCTGTGTGTGTGTGTGTGTGTGGTCTCTGTGAGGCTCTGCATGTGGTCTCTGTGTGTGTGTGTGGTCTCTGTGAGGCTCCGTGTGTGGTTTCTGTGAGGCTCTGTGTGTGGTCTCTGTGTGTGTGTGGTCTCTGAGCGTGTGTGGTCTGTGTGTGTGGTCTCTGTGAGCGTGTGTGGTCTCTGTGAGCGTGTGTGGTCTCTGTGAGGCTCTGTGTGTGGTCTCTGTGAGCGTGTGTGGTCTCTGTGTGTGGTCTCCAGGACTCGAGTGTCTGTGTGTGGTCTCTGTGTGTGTGGTCTCTGTGAGGCTCCACGTGTGGTCTCTCTGAGGCTCTGTGTGTGGTCTCCAGGACTCGAGGCTCTGCGTGTGGTCTCTGTGAGTCTCTGCGTGTGGTCTCTGTGAGTCTCTGCGTGTGGTCTCTGTGAGGCTCTGTGTGTGGTCTCTGGGACTCCAGGCTCTGTGTGTGCTCTGTGAGTCTCTGTGTGTGGTCTCTGTGAGGCTCTGTGTGTGGTCTCTGTGAGCGTGTGTGGTCTCTGTGTGTGGTCTCCAGGACTCGAGTGTCTGTGTGTGGTCTCTGTGTGTGTGGTCTCTGTGAGGCTCCACGTGTGGTCTCTCTGAGGCTCTGTGTGTGGTCTCCAGGACTCGAGGCTCTGCGTGTGGTCTCTGTGAGTCTCTGCGTGTGGTCTCTGTGAGTCTCTGCGTGTGGTCTCTGTGAGGCTCTGTGTGTGGTCTCTGGGACTCCAGGCTCTGTGTGTGCTCTGTGAGTCTCTGTGTGTGGTCTCTGTGAGGCTCTGTGTGTGGTCTCTGGGACTCCAGGCTCTGTGTGTGCTCTGTGAGTCTCTGCGTGTGGTCTCTGTGAGTCTCTGCGTGTGGTCTCTGTGAGTCTCTGCGTGTGGTCTCTGTGAGGCTCTGTGTGTGGTCTCTGGGACTCCAGGCTCTGTGTGTGCTCTGTGAGTCTCTGCGTGTGGTCTCTGTGAGTCTCTGTGTGTGCTCTGTGAGTCTCTGTGTGTGGTCTCTGTGAGTCTCTGTGTGTGGTCTCTGTGAGGCTCTGTGTGTGGTCTCTGGGACTCCAGGCTCTGTGTGTGCTCTGTGAGGCTCTGTGTGTGGTCTCCAGGACTCGAGGCTCTGCCTGTGGTCTCTGTGAGGCTCTGTGTGTGGTCCCTGGGACTCGAGGTGGCCCCAGGTGGGTGCTTCTGGACCAGCCTCAGCACTGCGGCATGGACACCAGCACCTTCTGGGATGCTGGCCCGTGAGAAACGCACCACTTGAACCCAGCTGCTTTCCGGTGTGTGCTGGGGAGTGTCATGCCAGCCCAGGCAACATCCCCTGCACACACTCAGGGCACCTCAGATGGAACCTTCCCGAGCAAGGAGGCTCGTGGTGGCAGGGTCTGTGTCAGCAAGCACCACATGGAGCTTCTCGTGAAGAGATGCTTTTCTTCTGTGAGCATTCCTGGTGGGCTGCAGCATCCAGGGGGTCCTGGGGGAAGGGACGTGCCTTCCAGATGGCCCTTCTGGATATCTGGATATGTCTCTCCCAACTTGGGCAGATGGGTGGGAGCTGGGGGGTCGAAGGGTGTATTGGTCCATGGGAGGCCATGGGGTCTGCGGAGCTTTCTGGAGACAGGCCTTCCCAACACACATGGGATCTGACCAGGACCAGGGGAAGGCTCAGGACAGCCCTGAAGGGCGGAAGCGTGAGCCTTGCATGCCCAGCCACATGGGGCCACGTGGGCCTGTTTCTTCAGCCTGAGACCGGAAATGTGAAGGCCAGGAGGCAGCCTCCTCCTGCTGAGGGCAACAGGAGCTCAGCCATGTGAGGTCAGGGCTGCCTGGAAACCTCAGAGTTTCCTCCATGTCTGATGGGGAGCAGGGGCAACGGCGCTGTGAGGGGGAAGGGTCTGCTGAAGGCCTTCCTGCCCACACTGTGCCTGTGAAGGCCACTCGCCCAGCTCGGTGCCCACCCAAACTCCTGCCGGGTGCCAACCCCAGGCCAGCAATAGCCAAGACAGCTGGGTCAGGACAGGTGGCCCCAAAATGACCCAAAATAGGTCTACGTACGTATTCCCAGATAGGGAATTTTTTAAAGAATAAAGATAACAGGAAATGCTGGAGAAGACACTGATAAACGGACTCTCACACACGGTGCTACAGCCCCTCTGGAAAACAGTTTACCTGATTCTTTAAAGCCACAACCCAGCAATGGCACTTCAGGGCATTTAGCCCAGAAAGCGGGAAATGCACTTCCACACAAACGCACGCACGCGTGTTCATGGCAACCCCATGTCCGTCCACAAGAAAATGGTCAAACTCTGCTCCGTGCACTCAGCAGCGGCGGCAAAGGAACGGTGGCTCCGGCCTGACGGGCCCCCAGGAGTCGGGCTGAGGACAAAGCCAGCATCAGAAGCGTCACAGGCTGCAGCAGGCAGTGTGCCTGGCTCGGGGGCCACCGCTGACCCACCAGTTATGGGTCTTGATGGTGGCAGCAACGCCAGTCCCTACCTGAGAAAGGAATGCCCGTACGACGTGAAAACAGACCACGGCGCCCGCAGTCCACCCACCGCTTGAAGCCACCTCACTTCCGGCTTTGCGGTCGGTCGCTGCAGCTGTGCAGTGTCGCGGCCGGGGAAGGCCGGGGAGCGGGCGCCAAGCGCCGTGCCCTGTTTCTGCGACTTCCCGCGAATCTGTAATGAATTTGACAGAGATTTTAGATGTCTACCTTTGATGATATTGAAAGGTTATGTGTGATTCTCTTTTTGTGTGATTTTTCTTTCTTTAATATATACACACACTTGTTCCAGTTTGTGGGGGGGAAAAAGCTAACTAATGACCAGGAAATAAATTGAAATCAGAGCTGCGCTGGAAATATGGGCTTCCTTCTGTGGAGCTGCTGGCGCTCACCCAAACAACAAGAATAAAAGCTTCTGGAAATATTTCATCCACGCAGCAGCACATTTTTTACCCTACGCTGTGTCCACGCATGCGAGAAATATTAAACAGTGAGTGCCATTCCATGCATCAAAGGCTTTAAAATAACTTTCTGAATTATGTCCCGGCAACATAACAAATCACATTATCAATTAGCTTCCATAACAGAAGTGGCATTCTGTAATATATTCCAGCAGAAACGGGATTGCATAGGTGCAATTTATGTCACCCTAAAAACTCTGAGGCAAGAGCAGATGTGTTGCAATTTATTGGAGATAATGGGGGACGGAAGGTGGTCTCCAGGGACACGGCCCTCAGCCTGCAAGTCCCGAGCGCGACACAGAAACCGCGCTGGTGGCTGGGCCTGGGACTTGAGGAGATCTTACCTGGCCGGGAGCATCAGGGGGCCCTCAGGATGGGGGGAGGCAGGGACACTCCTGCACTGCCGTGCCCGCTTGGCCCGGGGCCGGGTGAGGATGAGTTCCATCTTCTCCACGGAAAGTGGCCGGGAACCCTGGCCTGGGCCTTTGGGGGAGCACAAGGTGAGGCTGACTCTGCCCACACCGGGCACTGTCCCCCGCACCGCCCCAGCTTCCCGACAGTGTGCTGGGGGAGGTGACGTCCTTTCTGCCCCTGTGCTTCCCTCCCACAAGGCCTTCTCCTGCTCAGGCCCTAGATGGGTGGACGGGTGCCCCCAACAAGCTGCCCCATCTGGTGCCCTCAGTTTTCTACCCTCTAAAAATGTCCGTTTATTAGTTTACAGATTGAAAATGTGTAGAGGTTTAGAACGAGGGTTTTTAAGACGCCCTTGCTCATGGCCCGAGCCCCAAGCCACAGCAGCCAGCCGTATTTAAGGGCTCCTTCTGGTTCCCGTCAGCCTCGGTTCCTGCACCGACAGCTTGTGCCTTGTCTTCACTAACTCTGGTGGCTTCTCCATTCGGAGGTCAAGTCAAAGTCCTGCTTTGAAGCATCCCTTACCCTGTGACAAGCCCCTGGCCAGCACCTCTAAAGGAGCGTGAGTTCCCGGCACCCCAGCTCTGGACGCAGCCTCAGCCCCTCACTGCTCCGGTGGAGGCGGCCTCTCGCCGCAGCAGAGTGGGCTGGGGGGGTGTGGGCACAGTCGGTGCCCCCATCCCATACCCACTGGGGGTCACACGTGGCCTGGAAGTTCCCACCCCAAAGGCCATGGGAAGGTCAAAGGGTGTGGCCAGCACCCTGCAGAAGGTCTTCTTAACCCTCAGGTGCCCCTCGAAGCCCCCGTCGGCCCCCACCCCACCCTCCTCTCTCGATTGGGCAGCCTGGGGGCCTGGCCTGGATGCCCTCAGGTTCCCAGAGGTCCCAGGATGTCGTGAGCCACAGCCTGGCCGTCCTCCCTGGAAACTTGGGGGCTCTGGGTCTCCCAACTCACAGGCACAGCCGAGAGGGTCTTCAGACAGAGTTGGATGAAGGAGCGAGGCAGGTTAATAAAACTAAAATGTTCACAGACGCTTGTATATAAATTTCTATTAAGTTGCCTCATCCAAGGTTGGTCTCTAATAGTTTAATTTCTATGTTAAATAATTAAAACTCTATCTTCATTTGCTGTGAACAATTGTTTTCCTTAATGATCTTCCCAGAGGAGCCAGTAATTTTATATCTTGTAAAAATGATTAAATGGCGTCATTATCTCATATCTCTGAAATGTAACTCAGCAACTCCAGGGAAGGACATTTGTATTCAATTAATGCTCCCTCGCGTGAGATGTGGGTGTCACCTCGTGCCAGCCTCGCCCGGCTGGCCTCGTTTTATGGTGACGATGATGAAGATGGAAACAACCAGTTTAATTATCCCATTTCCAACACAGAAATCCATTTCCAATACGTCTTCACCCTTAAGAATAAAAGGCAGCCGTGGTTCCTGGGAAGGGCAAGTGGAGCGAGAGCCCTGCGTGGGGACAGGGTCTTGGGTACAGGGCGGAGGGAACAGGGACGTGGGGACAAGGATGTGGGGACAGGGTGAGGGGACCCAGCCAAGGGTTAGACCTGAGGCTGTGAGGCCACTCGGCTGCCCAACCCTCTCCGGGCTCCCTTCCTGAGTGCAGGGCTGGGCCCTGGGAGCTCCCTGCCCCTCCCTGCTGAACTCAGGGTTCTGCACCCTCTGAGGGATCCCTCACCTCTGTCCTGTTGCCAGGGGTTCCCCTCCCCCGCCCCTCCCCCACGCCCCCCTCTGGCCCCACAGCCTCTCAAGCTGGGCTCCAAGGGGCCTGGATGTAGGTTCCTGGGATGGCCCCACTCGCTGGGCTGACACGCTGACCCCCAACAGCCCATCCCACTGTCCTCGAGTGTCATCAGCATGGCATGGAGGGGCTCCCGCCGTGAGGGTGACTGGAGGGACACGCCCGCCTGGCTACTCATCACCGCACTGGTGGCCAGTGTAATCTAATTGTCTGACATTTTTATCACAATTCATCCAGACCGGAGAGAGAAGGCTAGATTGATACCCCATGCAGTCGGCTAATGGCCCGCACGGCACTGACGGCCAAATTACAGGGAGCTCTTAAATGTTCTGATTACAGATTTTAATACTTTGTGACAAGAGGCAAGAGGTGGGTTAAGATAATGGGGACGCGGCCGAGCTCTGCCTGCTGCCTGCAGCTGGGGCCCGCCCAGACCTGCTCATCTTTCTTGCCCTGCCCTGACTCCAGACTGGGTGGGACTGGGGTGCTGGGAGGACTTGGGGTGCTCAACAGCTCGGACAGAGACCAGGGGCCGGGCCCTGTGACCCATGACCCCAGGAGACCTCATCTTTGGAAGGAGGCTCTCAAGGCCCAGAACCACCCCCTGCAGAGCTGCAGCTGGAGCCCCCAACAGAGGCTGCACCCCACATCCCTGAGGGCAGAAGGCTGGACCCAGGACTGTCCCTTTTGTAGGCTTGAGAAGGATTTTTCCTGGGAATCCCAGCCTCAGAATGTCCTGCCACCTTTGAGGAGCTTGGAGATCCCAGCCCCTAAATACTGGCGGACCTACAACAGGGTAAGACAGCCCCCACCGCTGCCCCGCAAAATCAGGCCCCATGAAAGGAGGAGCCAAGGTCTTGGGGCCACAGGACTCACTCGGAAGGGAGAGGAGTGGCCCCATCACAAGCAGCTTTGCTCTCTGAGCTACGAGGGCCCCTCCCCTCCCTTCTCCCCATCACTGAGCCCCAGCCCTGCAGGGACAGGGGCTGAGACTTCCCAGAATGCTGTGCCTTTCCCGAGGACCAGTTCTTGCTGATTGAAGAAATAGGAGTCAGAGAGAACCAGGGTCCCTTAGTAACAGATCCCCCCATTAATGGCTGGTTCGAGGCCAGCCTCCCAGGGTCCTTTAGAAATCTCACACCTGTAATCCCAGCACTTTTGGAGGCCAAGGCAGGTGGATCACGAGGTCAAGAGACCGAGACCATCCTGGCCAACATGATGAAACCCCGTCTCTGCTAAAAATTCAAAATTAGCAGGGCATGGTGGTGTGTGTCTGTAATCCCAGCTAGTTGGGAGGCTGAGGCAGGAGAATCCCTTGAACTTGGGAGGCAGAGGTTGTAGTGAGCCCAGATCTTGCCACTGCACTCCAGCCTGGTAATAGAGCAAGACTCTGTCTCAAAAAAAAAAAAAAACACACACACACAGAAATAGACCTCCCATTCCTGGCCACGTGCACAGCCAGCCACCCTTGCAACACGTGTGGCCATTTTACTAAGTTCTGGGTCGAGGGATGTCCATAAAAGGAAAGGCTTGCTCTTTTTATTCCTGTCTGCAGACTGGAACAAAATCTGATGGCTGGAGCTTGGAAGCCATATTGTGCTGTGAGGCAGAACCTAGATGCCGAGGATGGCACAGCCACAGTTGGAAGGAGCCAACTCCCCAACTCTTCGGGGTCAGGAGCTTCCCATCCTGAGCAGCTCGCCTCGGACTCCGTAAACACGAGTGAGCAACAGCATTGCCTCTGGTTTAGTTCTCACCAGAGAACCTGATCCTGTGGACGCCATGTACCATGCCTGGGGCAGGGGTCCCAGAAACGCATTTCCCCCTCAAACGTGGAGTCCTCGAGAGCAGGACTGCATGGACTTCGAGGGTGGAGCCTGGGCCTGCTCCCCAAGGCCGCTGCGATTCCAGAATCACTTCCAGGGTGATGGTGTCGTTCCTGAGGCCATTCTATCCTGCCTTATCCAGGAATTCTGACCCCTGCAAGAGGCCAGGCGGTAGAGAGGGATGAGGGGTACTGTGGGCAGAGGACCAGCCCTCGAGAGCAAGGCTGCAGAGGGGATGGCCCAGCATGAGGAAATTCAGGCTCTGTTCTGGTTACACAGCTTCTCTGGGGAGGCAGGAGGGCCCAGCCACAGCAGAGACTTGAATGCCGAAAGAAGAAACAGGCAGGGCTGTCCCCACCCCCACTGCAGAGAGACATCCCCACCCTCACCACGGATAGACATCCCCACCCCCACCTCAGATATATGTCCCAGGCTCAGGTGAGGCGTCCCGGGCTCGGGTGAGGTTTCCCGGGCTCAGGTGAGCTTTCCTGGGTGAGGTTTCCGGGCTCAGGTGAGGTTTCCCAGGCTCGGATGAGGTTTCCCGGGCTCAGGTGAGCTTTCCTGGGTGAGGCGTCCCGGGCTCGGGTGAGGTTTCCCGGGCTCAGGTGAGCTTTCCTGGGTGAGGTTTCCGGGCTCGGGTGAGCTTTCCTGGGTGAGGTTTCTGGGCTCGGGTGAGCTTTCCTGGGTGAGGTTTCTGGGCTCGGGTGAGCTTTCCTGGGTGAGGCGTCCCGGGCTCGGGTGAGCTTTCCTGGGTGAGGTTTCCCGGGCTCAGGTGAGCTTTCCTGGGTGAGGTTTCCCGGGCTCGGGTGAGCTTTCCTGGGTGAGGTTTCCTGGGTGAGGTTTCCTGGGTGAGGCGTCCCGGGCTCAGGTGAGCTTTCCTGGGTGAGGTTTCCCGGGCTCGGGTGAGCTTTCCTGGGTGAGGTTTCCGGGCTCGGGTGAGCTTTCCTGGGTGAGGTTTCCGGGCTCGGGTGAGCTTTCCTGGGTGAGGTTTCTGGGCTCGGGTGAGCTTTCCTGGGTGAGGTTTCTGGGCTCGGGTGAGCTTTCCTGGGTGAGGCGTCCCGGGCTCGGGTGAGCTTTCCTGGGTGAGGCGTCCCGGGCTCGGGTGAGCTTTCCTGGGTGAGGTTTCCCAGGCTTGGATGAGGTTTCCCGGGCTCAGGTGAGCTTTCCTGGGTGAGGCGTCCCGGGCTTGGGTGAGGTTTCCTGGGTGAGGCATCCCGGGCTCGGGTGAGCTTTCCTGGGTGAGGCATCCCGGGCTCGGGTGAGCTTTCCTGGGTGAGGCGTCCCGGGCTCGGGTGAGGTTTCCTGGGTGAGGCATCCCGGGCTCGGGTGAGCTTTCCTGGG